CAATAGCTTCAATTTGATATATAGCCGGACGTTTGGGGTCAAGTATTTCTGCTCATAACTCAGAAAAACTATTTTGGCTTCATCAAATCATAGGCCTTCATCATAGCAGTTAGCCTTCCAGTTTATTTATAGTTCAATGGGTTGAAACAAGAAGGTCGAGCAATCTCGTTCCCCGATCAGCCTGCGATCCTCGGGAAGGAACGTGAGGCTCTGGGATAATCCGTTGCCTGAAGCCAGGAATCCTGGCTAAGACCGAACTGTGCATTCCATATCAACGGCCAATCAGATTCCTCCCTGAAACGGATTATCCCAGAACCTCACGTTCCTTCCCGACGATCCCAGGCTCGGGGAACGAGATTGGAAGGTCGAGTCGAAGGCAGGACTGAAAACAACACTTAACGATCGAGACCTTCAGTAATTTCGTATATTAATTATACAAAAACCGAATTCAATGACTGATTCGTTATTCAATACATTTATTATACATTAAACTCCTTCGACAAACAATGATCACAAGGACAGCATAAAAAATATTAGAAAATTCATTAGGTGCAAAAATTTTAATAAAAATGCCAGTCTATAGCTTGCATGATTTCCATATTTAACTGCATGTAAGCTATTAGCCAATCAAATCATTTACTGTTACGATACCAAATTATGCTTTTCTTTTAATATATTACCGTCACTATTATTATTTCCACTAGATTAATGTATGCTGTAGAAACACATTATAATTTTGCAATGTAACAATTTATTTGATAAAAGCTTATTGTAATCATCCCAAACAATTGAACTTTTCTCCGCAGGTCTCTTATCAACGCAAACATACTGCAGTGGTCAGGATGCGTGATTGCCAAAAGGATCAGTTGGTATAGCTCCAGTAAATTCCACTATTATTTCTCCGGTAGCATCATTTGAACTGCAAACTGACAAAGCATGTTTTAGTTTAGATTTTAGGGCTAAATTATTGGCCGCTTTTTGCCCATCGCTATTTTTTTTCCAAATAATATCGAAGAGGAAAGGTAATGAAGTGGCAGCCATTGTGCTGATTATTTGAACACTGCTCGAGACACCGGATGCTTGGGCCAATGACATAAAAATGAACAAGAAGTAGGCGCAAATTACAACGAAGATTACCCCTTCAAAATAAGGGACCAAAATTTCGCCATAGGGCAGAAACTTTTCCCGGACTATATCATATAGTGGTTTCGGAATGACAGGCTCTCCGTTCTCGTCTAACTTAATTTTAAAACGCGTTAAAGTGTCATTGTTCTCAGTTTCATTGGAACTGGCAGAGCGTGCAACTTGAACCGGTCTATTACTTTCTCTGCAAGCTTTGTAAATTTTTGTATTCAGCTCCAAGTACTTCTCTTCAACCGATGACTTCCAATTACTCCATGAATAAAATAAGATGATGGAGAGGGGAACGAAATAAGTACTGTAAAATCCAGCATTTAAATACAAACCAACGGTATAATAGAACGCAAGAACAAAACATTTGTAAAAAGAAAACGCAAATATCCCCCATGTAGCAAAACCCACGAGTTTTGATAGAGTCAACTGTGTGATAGGTTTCCGTAATAATAATTGTTTGTTAAACACTTTATGCGAATATCGGGCAGCAAACAATGTATATAAAACAAGCAGACATAAAATTGGAAGAGCGATTAGGAGGTAAAGGATTAACAAAACAATAATAGATAAACAATATTTGTGTAGATCCATAAGGCGTCTGATAATTTGTCCAGGGTCGTTTCTTGGTTGTTGCCGCAATTCCACTTGCGTTAATAAACTGCTACGCTCGGACATTCGAGAACTGGTTGCTGATTGTTGATAACTTGTCGCACTGTTTAGGTTTAACTTGAGGTGCGTACGGAAAAATGGCCGCCTGTTCACCTCATTCCACAAAAATTTCAGGTTAAATGGTAATGCGATAATCTTAATCGGATTCCCGTTGAAGAAAAAGAAACTCAATTGATTGGCAGCAGCAACCCTAGAATCATGCATGGGCTTCGTCATTGAAGTTGTGTACATCAAAAAACGGAAAGAGTAATGCCCACCCACATAAAATGATGTAGAACGAGAGAAGGTAAAGTTTCCAGACAGGTAACGCAGTTACAAGTACGATTACTGTTACCACCAATCTCCTTCCAAATGACTTAACTGGACCATGGCCTTCGATAAATATTTTGTGAAAAATGGATGAAAGTGACATTGGACTGTCTGAAATTTTATATTGTATGCGCTCCTTTTGGGAATAACTTAAATGTTCAACTATTAAGGGAAAAACCAAAAATATAAAAAGCAATACTGCTACCACAAACAGATTGTTAGAAGATTCCTTTAGGATAGATGAATAGTCCGAACAGATTGGTATGCGTTCTCGTCCAAGTAAACTGCAACAATTATAGTTTGTGTCATCACTGCCAGTGTTTATGCTGCATAATTGATAATCTGAATCATCTCCATTGTCATGCAGGTACAACTGATGCAGTAGAAAATTGAAAACAATATTGGATGCATTGCCTCCCGAGAATAACAAACATCCTTTGGTCATTTCGGAGACTTTACCGTATATCCACGTTATCCACCCTACAGTTAATGTACTTGTGTAGGACGATAGAATCATCGCTGGCATATTCTCGGCTTGGGCAATTAAGGAAATTAATGTACGGCCCATTTTATTCGCCCATTTAATTCCTGTTAGTACTCGAGATCTATTCAAAGTATTGTTGAACGATTGTATCAAAACAATTAGTTCAATTGCATTCTTTTCCTTGTGATGAATCAATTTCAGGATTTTCTTCTGCGAAGACCGATTAATTTTAAGATGGCAGGTAGTGGAAACGTTGCTTAAATCCGTTTCATTTCCATTTGGGATGGATTCAGTCTTATCATTTTGTGAAAATTCAAAAGCTTCCTCTACTGAGATAGTTTTGGGCAGATTACTGCATAGAACGAGCATCAGTATGAGGATTTTAGTAGTCATCATTTCACGTCTTAAAATAGCAGCTTCTGTAAAAGAATATTTTACATTTGTGAGTGGTCAGTTTCAGTTTTCTAAACGCCAAAGCCACTGCATATATGAGACTGAGTTTCGGAAAAATCTGTTTGGTTTGTTTGGAAGGATTCTGATCTGAACAATGGCTTAATACATACATAGGCTACATACATACATACATATACAGTAGCTCTTGCTTAATGCTATCGCACTCCATAGTGTTTATTTACTTCAGCCATGTTTAAGAGGAGAGTTGGCTTTGGAGAGGATGTCTCAACAGACAAGGGAAGGCTTATATAGTGATATATTGATTTCAGTGAGTTTCAAAGCAAACGAAATGAGAAATAGGGTAAATTAGGGCATTGCCCAAGCTTCCTGGAAATACTTGATGACTGATTTAAACCTGCATGTAGTATTGTAGTTATACTTTAACGGGTTTAAAAACGAAAACTCGATCATTACTATATTCGGGCCCCAAAGTACAGACAAGCTGTCAATGCACAGGCATCCCAAGCTCACATGTGGTTGAGTAAGAATTTTGAGAATAGTAATATGCATTGGACGAGATAGGATGTTTCTAACTTAGTAAGTTGTGCGAATGCATCAGACAGTCAGTTTCGGCCAGTGAATAACAATTATCACTTATTTACTGAGACCGGGGAAATGGTGTGTTTTGGGGACCCGAGACCGCCGTTGTTTCCCGACGCGAAGCCAAGGGACTGTTTTCCCGAGGTCTCAGTAAATAAGTGTTTTGTTATATAGTATATAAGTGTCAAAGTATGAATAATTCACCGGTTATTAAATATTGGAGTGAACTGGAACGCCAGGAATGTTTAATAAAAAAGTTTATTAATAAAATGAACTTTGGAACTTCATGGTTGACGTGCATGCGCATTGCACCCATTCTATTGTTGACCGGTTGGTCAATAATTGTTTCATTGTTGACTGGCATAGATATGGGAGATCTAGATTGCTAACGCATACCCAGCGCAGGCGGGGCCTACATGATAAATCCAAGATGGCGGTACAACAGGGCAAAAAGACTATAAATTCTATTACGCAAATCAGGATTTTTGCATTTTTTGCCGTCGCATTGTTTCGAAACTTATTCGGTCAAGCTTTATGGTAAAGAAAAACTTACGTACCGCGAAGATTTTGATATATATATGATTGAATTGGATGAAAAATCGCAAAATTATCCAGCGGTAAAAGTTCGTGTGAAATGGTCAGTTGGTCAGTTGAAGCGTTTTATAAAC